GATAGCCATGGCCTATTATAAGAACATGTGGTCTCCTAAGGACATTGAAGTCGCTAAATCTCTATCTCAGAAGGAGGTCTTCAACTATTTTCCCCTTGCAGCCATGGAGGTAATTCCTCTCCCTTCTCTTTGTTACATTTGAAATGTATTTTTATTGTAATTCCTCCAGACATGCGTTCGGCTTAATTAGTACTCATGTATTGCTCTATAAACTCTCTTTGGCATGATGGCCATGCAAAAGCATGTCAAGGCTGCCAATACTAAGGTACGAAAGTTTGCCAAAGATGTTGAAGTGGGTCACAAAGAGAACAAGATCATCAGCACCCAAAATGCAGAACTTATGGTGCAGCTGGACAAGGCCGAAAAGGAAAGAGATGGTCTGAAAAAGGAAACAGACTCCCTTTAAGACGAAAAAGACGCCCTTCTGATCGAGAAGAGTGTCTGGCAGACCAAGCATGAAGCGCTTAAAGCCAAAAAAGACAATCTTCAGCGCCTGCTTCATGATGAACAAGCAGAGCGTATGGCCTTTGAAAAGAGGGCTCTGGCTAAGCGTAATGCCCTACTCGGTGTCATCAATAGAGTCAATGGAGGGATGAAGGCTCTGCATAGCCGTTTCTCCTGTGCTGGGACCCTCAGGTATGCCGAAGGATACCGAGAAGGTTTCAACCATCTCCTTCCAGCTGAGGGTCAGACAGTCTCAGGCACAGGCCCAGATGATGTTGACAAGAAGCTGGGAATTGATCCTCCAGGAGTCTATGCTGATCCAGACCCCACTCCTGCCAAACACATTTTTGAAGAATGTGATAGGATTGCCTCATCTGGAGCTATCCCTGTTCCTCCTCCCACTCAGCCTTTAGACATACCTCCTCTCTCTACTGTAGTTCCCCTCGTGACTACCACTAAAGGTGGAACTCAGCAGACTGAAGTGGTGATTCAGCTTAACTCCCCTCCTCACAGGGATGTCATTACCAATGATGGGGAGGGTAATACTAACCATCTTGGGGATGCTGCCGAGGGTGAGCAAGTGAACGAGGAGACAGATATAACTTGATTGTACCCGTCTTATGTATATCTTTGTAATCTTTGAGCTTATAATGAATGAAAAGATACTTTTTGATTGCATCTAATCTGAATCTCTGCATCACTTGGTAGTACTTAATAATAATTTTTATTTAACACAAATGTGTGGCCTTCGGCTCATAACACCAACCACTTGTCTTTTTCATACTTTTAATAAGTGTCTGGCGCTCGGTAAGAATGTCACTTGCCACTTGGCTTTTTTTTCATTAATTTTTATTTATTTATTTATTTTAAGCAAGTGTTTGGCATTCGGCTCATAGCGCCAGTTGCCACTTACTATGCTTAAGTGCCTGGCGCTCGGCTAGTATGCCACTTGCCACTCGACTCTTTTTTCATTATGTTTTTTTTAACCAAGTGTTTGACGTTCAGCTCGTGGTGCCAGTTGCCACTTACTATGCTTAAGTGCCTGGCACTCGGCTAGAATGCCACTTGCCACTCGGCCCTTTTTCTATTATTTTTATTTTATTTTATTATTTATTTTTTTAAGCAAGTGTTTGGCGTTCGGCTCGTGGTGCCAGTAACCACTTACTATGGTTAAATGCCTGGTGCTCGGCTAGAATGCCACTTGCCACTTGGCTTTTTTTTCATTATTTTTTAAGCAAGTGTTTGGCGTTCGGCTCGTGTTGCCAGTTGCCACTTACTATGCTTAAGTGCCTGGCGCTTGGCTAGAATGCCACTTGCCACTCGGCTCTTTTTTCATTATTATTTTTTTTTAAGCAAGTGTTTGGCATTCGGCTCATGGTGCCAGTTGCCACTTACTATGCTTAAGTGCCTGGCACTCGGCTAGAATGCCACTTGCCACTTGGCTTTGCTCATACTTAGTCACCTTGTTTAAAGGAAGACGATACTTTTTCTATAATTTTTTTCAAAATTTTTGCTCTCTTGCAAGTATACAATTGAAGGTAGACATTAGTTAAACTGAAACTCAATTTTTATTGATAATACCTTTTTAAAGAAATGACATTCCAAGGCTTATTTACCAGCCTTCCAGCCATGGTTTCTAAGAAATATGCCCCCTTTCCGATAACCTCTGTAACTCTATACGGACCTTCCCATGGTGACACCATTTTCTTAATAATACCGACTTTTCTTTTCAGAACCAAATCACCAGGTGCAAAACCCTTATGCCTCACCTTTCTGTTGTGACTGTTCATGAGCATTTGTTGATATGATGCGAGCCTTATTGCTGCAGCATTCCTCTTCTCTTCAAGTAAGTTGAGGTTGAATTTCAGCATATGATCATTCTACTCCTGATTCCATGCTAAACTCCAAATTGTAGGAACTTGGTGTTCTACCGATATTACTACCTCAGTACCATACGCCATGGTGAATGGGCTTTCTCCGGTCGGTCGTCTTGGAGTTGTTCTATACGCCCACAGGATGTTCGGGAGTTCATCCAACCACTTCCCTTTCTCTTCTTCAAGCTTCTTCTTTATACAAACAAAGATCGTTCTGTTTGTGATTTTAGCCTGACCATTCGCCTGTGCGTGGCTGACCGCTGCTAACTTTTGATTAATTCCATATTCGTTCAGCAACTCCCTCACCTACAAGGTATCAAGGTTAGTCCCATTATCCATGACGATCGCCCTCAACACACCAAATCGACAAATGATATTATTCTAAATGAAGCATCTCACATGAGTCTGAGTCACACTGGGGTATGGTTCTGACTCCACCCATTTAGTAAAGTAGTTTATTGCAAGCAGAACGTACTTGTTTTGCGATCTGGTAGTCGGTAATGGGCCAACCACATCCATCCTCCATTACGCGAAAGGCCATGGTTTGGCCATTACGTGCAAATCTTCTGGTGGTTGGTGGATCAGTGGTCCAAACCGTTGACACTTATCGCATCTTCGCAAAAATTCCTCTGCATCTCATGCCATGTTTGGCCAAAATTAACCCTGTGTCATCGCCTTGTGTGCTAGAGACCTTCCTCCTGAATGATTGCCACAAACCCCTTCATGGATAGTCCGCAGTAGCTGCTGAGCTTCTGCAGGGGTTAAACATTTTAAGTATGGTCCTAAATAAGAGCTCCTGTAAAGTTGGTTGTGTACTATGGCATACTTTGCGGCATTTGATCTGATCTTTCTTGCTTCATCCCTCTATTCGGGAAAAACACTATCACGTATATACGTAATAATTGGATCTATCCAGCTCGGTTCATATGGTATAACATTCACTTGCCAGGGATCCGAACTAGACTGTTCCTCAAGAATAGATGGCTAGCGTAGTACCCCGATTGGAATTACCCTTGCTAGTGTTTCACCCGAATTTGACGCACTATAAGCCAACCGATCTGCATCTTCATTATGCTCCCTCGGTAACTGAATGAACCTGATCTGATCGAATCTTTGTACCTCTTTCATAACAGAAGAATGGTATGCCTCCATTGTCTCATCCTTTGTTCCATACTCTCCAGTCACTTACCGAATTATTAATTGCGAATCACTGAAGGCAACTAAACTTTTGACCCTTAACTCCTTGGCCAACCTTAAACCAGCCAACAACACTTCATACTCTGCTTCATTGTTGGTTGCTTTGAACTCAAGCCTAATCGCTTGGCACAGCGTAATGCCATTTGATGTTTGTAACTTGATCCCGATTCCTGCCCCCATCTGATTTGAAAAGCCATCAACGAAGAGCTTCCGTGAAGATTCTTCAAGGCATTCATCCAGCTCATCTACATCACATTCCAGTAAGAAATCAGCCACAGCTTGCCCTTTAATAGCCGTTTGGGGTTCATAAGCTATGTCGAAAGAACTAAGCTCTATTGCCCATTTCGTCATTCGTTCGGACAGATCGAGCTTATGCAAGATCACCCTAATAGGAAACGTGGTCAGGACGACTATAGGATGAGACTTAAAGTAATGCCTGAGCTTCCTTTTTGCATTTACCAAGGATAGGATTACTCGTTCGGCCTTTGAATACCTTCTCTCTAGCTCGGTCAACGTTTTGCTTACATAGAAAACCAGGAATTGCTTACCCTCATCACATCGTATCAACACACCACTGGTCGCAATGTTAGAAACTCCGAGGTACAGGAAAAGCTTTTCGCCTGGCACTGAGGCGTTTAGGACTGGTGGGTTCCGCATATATTCTTTCAGTTTGATCAACGCTTGCCTTTGCTCATCCCCCTAGGACTGTTTTCCATGACCCCTGATTGTATCGAAGAATGGCTTGCATCGGTTGGATAACTTAGAAATGAAACGACTCAGTGCCGCTATGCGTCCGGTGAGAGCTTGGACCTCTTTGATAATTCTTGATTCAATATTTTTTAGCAACGCATCCGCTTGGGCTGGACTAACCTCAATTCCTCTCTTGTTGACCACGTGTCCAAGGAATTGCCCAAATCCCACGCCGAACAAGCATTTAGTTGGATTCAGCCTCATTCCATACTTTCTCAGCACACTGAACACCTCCTGTAAATGTTTTAAGTGATGGTCCTTCTGTCTGCTTTTGACCACCATGTCATCGATGTAAGCCTCTACTGTCCTGCCCATTTGATCCTTAAAAATCTTGCTAACCAACCTCTGATATGTGGCTCCGGCATTCTTCAATCCAAACGGCATAGCCTTGTAACAATAGATCCCTCGTTCTATGACTAAAGAGGTCTTTTTCTCATCGCCTGGGTCCATCGGGATTTGATTATAGCCTGAATATGCATCCAGAAAGGTCAGTCGCTCATATTCGGTTGTCGCATCCACCATTTGATCAATCTTTAGGAGTGAAAAACTATTCTTCTGGCAGGCTTTATTCAGATTGGTGAAGTCAATGCAAACTCTCCATTTTTCATTCTTCTTTTGCACAACAACCACATTCGACAACTAATCCGGGTACTATACTTCTCTGATGAATCAAGCCTCCAACAATCGATTTACTTCATCTGCAATGATCTGGTTACGCTCCAGGATGAACCTTCTCTACTTCTGCCTCACTGGCTTGACGTTCGGATCTACATTAAGAATATGGCAAGAGACTGATGGGTCGATCCCTGGCATGTCGAGATGGCTCCAAGCGAATACATCAGCGTTCTCGGAAAGGAAATCAACTAATTGACGTTTTTCTTCCTCGGCAAGCCCGAAACCTATCTTTCTGGACCAATCTGGGCTTAAATGATCAATTTGAACTTCAACCAGTGGTTCCTCGGTCAGCACCAGAAGCTCCTCCTCTCCATTCATACTGAGGGGAGGCTTCTGTAATTGCTATTGCTCATCAGCAAATTGGGCAAGAGCTTTTCCCTTCCCTGAAGCTTTCAGAGTCACCAAGTAACACTCCTTTGCTGTGACCTGATCTCTATGGATATCTATTACCTTGCTCCCGTCTGGACTTATTCATCTCATCACCTGATGTAGGGTCGATGGGACTCCTTGTACCCTATGGATCCACCCCCTCCCCATCAGCAGATTGTAGGAGGGATGGATTTCCACCACCACGAAACTTTCGACAAGGTTCCTTTCAGCTGCACGGACCATCAACTCCACTGTGCCGATCGGTTCTACCCCTTTGCCATCAAACCCCAACAGTGGGTTTCCAGTAGACTTCAACTCCTTTAGATTGATTTCTAGGCGATCAAAGGTGACCCTTGGCATGATATTTGCACTACTCCCCGGATCAATTAGCACTCTTCGTACTAAACACTCTGCTACTGTCAAACTGACAACCAAAGGGTCCTCATAAGGAATCTGAACTCGCATCAGGTATGTCTTATCAAACCTTATCAGCATTGTTGAGCATTGTTGGTGTAGAGTGTTGACACTGCCTATTCGTCTCTTCATTTGTGCTTGTCAAAGACGCGTTCGGGTCAACTCTTCGGACTCTTTGGCTCGTTCAAGTCGACCATGAATGGCATTTATAATCCGAACGGGCTGGGTGTTATGGTGATTCAGCTTTTGATTTCTTTTGACTTGCTCAATTAGTCGATTCTGCTCTTGGGCTGGTCCTTGAATATACCTTGCAAACTCTCCCCTAGCGATCAGCATCTCCACTTGTCTCCTTAAGTTCCTGCATTCATTAGTCTGATGACCAAAATCACTATGAAAAGCACAATGTTTGGATTGATCCCTCTGCTCTAAAGGTTGTCTAATTGGCAAAGGAGGGCGAAACTTATCTTTATTCTCTTAGTATAGCCTTGCCAATGTAACTATAAGTGGAGTAATCAGGTCATCCTCCCTAGGCCTCTTCTCTGCCTTCCAGGAGGTCTGACATTGTGTAAGAACTTGCTTCTGCCGTATCTTCGCTTTGGACTTCTCTTCCGTGGAGATGATAGATGTCTTCCTAGCATTAGCTACTTCCTCCTCTTCCAGGCGTACGAAACCATCAGCTCTCTCATTCAGTTCGTCCATTATCTTCGGCATGTTTACCACCAGACTGGTATGGAACATTGTCCCTCGGGTCATAGCTAACTTGAACGCCTAAACTGCTGTGGAAGGATGGCACTCTATCACCATGCTCTTGGTTAGGTTAAACCTGATAAGAAAAGTTTGGAAACGCTCATCGTCATGCTGGTCATTACATACATTCATTCAAAATATCAATTAGGCGAATGGAACAACAAAGTAGAATTTAATTAAATCATGATAATTAAATCTTTAACTTCTAAAGCAACTTTAATTTGTCAAAATTTAATATATGCTAGTAAACAAGTCCTAGTTATTATGAATATCAAGTTAAAAACTCAATTAAGCTAATGGAACCTTTAAATTGATTTTAATTAATTCTTTAAATTAAAATATCTAGATTTTCATACTCATCCAAATGCTCTCAAATTAAAGTATATTAAAGAACATGCCAAGACTTAATTTAAAAGCATATCATAAGTTAATTTCATGCAAGATACGTCCATGAGAATAAAACTTTCATAAAAGATATTTATTAAATAAAAAGTGCAATTCTTATTCAAATAATCCCAATTTAATATATGTTAACAAACATATCTAAGCCTAATTTTCTAGCATGCCACAATTTAATTCTAGGTTGTACACCATCATGAGAATTAAATGTTAAACATAGAAAATAATTAAATTAAATTGTAGATTATGAACAAAAGCATCCATACAAGTTGTATAAGCCTCAATAGCTTGCAAGACAACAACGATATGAAACTATAACATCCCCTACCTCCATTTGAGATGAAATCTCAAATCCACATCCAAAGAAAAGTGCTCTGAATCCTACAAAACTTCTAGGTTTTGTCGGGGACAACAAGGTGATCAATAAACACCAAGGAGGTACCATGAAAAACCTAACTTGGCTTAAAACCCAAACTCAAAAAATGGACAGAAATGGGTTCCAATAAGGGGGAAAGGTAGAGCACGTCAAGGCGAACATAAAACACTAAGGCACTATGACTTTTTACTTAAGGGAAGTGGCCAGAAAAGAAGAGAGAAGGGTGGTAGCCCCTTGGCTGCCAGCCAAGAGAGAGGAGGGAGATAGAAAAATCTGACCTTTTCTCTAAAGACCTCCTATTTAAAGAAAACCCTAAAAGTGCCCCGAAAGGGCCTCGCCGGGTCTGGAAAAGTGGAATTTGAACAGATGTACTCAAACGGCAAAACTCTATGAATGAAAAAGAACCAAAATGAGAAAGTATGAACAACGGAAGAAACAACATCAAAAACCGAGTCCCGAGCAGAGAGATACATCCCAAACAAGTTTGGCGGCAACCGAGGTCAGAAACCCTAAAACTAAAGAAAAACAACAGAAGGAAATTTTAAGAGCACATGACTCGACGAAAAGTGAAATAAATCCCATACGAGGATGCAGGCTCAAAACAAGGCATTTAGCAATAACTTTCATTAATTGCAATAACTTCAAATGGAGGTAGGGGATGTTATAGGTTTATATTTTTGTTGTCTTGCATGCTATTGATGCTTATACAACTTGTATGCATGCTTTTGTTCATAATCTAGAATTTAATTTAATTATTTTCTTTATGTAAGATTTAATTCACATGGTTGTATATGCGATGGAATTACATTGTGGCATGCTATTAAATTAGGTCTTAATATGTTTATTAACATATATTAAATCAAGGACATTTGAATAAGTACTGAGACTTCGATTTAATAATTTTCTTTTATGAAAGTTTAATTCACATGATTGTAACTAGCATGAAATCAACTAGTAATCTAATATTAAAATATGCCTTGTTATGTCCTTTAACCTATGACATTTAGAGTTGTTTTAAAATCTAAAGCAAATTAATTAATTAGTTTAATTAATTTTATTTGAAGTGTTTTATTTACTTAATTGGATTTTTAACTTGATATTGTAGATGACCATGCTATGTTCTTTAACATACATTAATTTGAGACTATTTGGAATTGATTTGAAATCCAAAGAATTTAATTATTTTTATTTAATTAAATTCTATCTAATTGTTCCATGGATTTAATTATGTATTAGAAGCTGTTTCTATATATAAATCATGGATTTAGACTTGTTGGGTGTGACAGCCCAAGTTTTGCAACCCGGTGTGTCAGTGATGAACTGAAGGTTGACCGATAATGGATCCGAAATGTGAAAGCGAAAGATCAAACCAAAGTCTATAGAGATATAAACCATCCCTAAGACACCAATGTGACCTTCCATGAAGTCACAGAACTCAAAGAAATAACCAGAAGTGGAAGCTAGAATAAGAAGGGTCGAATGGTACCCTATGGCACCAATGACAACCAAAATAACGAAGTCTAGTTCAAACTTGACCACGTATGCCATTAAATGGCTTAAACAAGAAAAAACAAGATCCTATGGGAACAAACAGCGGAGTTAACCTGTCTAGGCAACAAACCAAACAAAACCCACAAGGCAACATCATTTCGGTCGTCCGAAATGATGCTTCGGTCGATCGAAGTGAACCTAGAAAAGAACGGAAATGAGCCTTCATTTTGGTCGACCGAAATGACAAACTTGCAATGCACCAAAATTGAAAAAGAGACTTTAAGTCTCATTTGAATCCCCTATAGCATGATCAATTTACACTATATGTTATTGTGTGATGATGTGAACATACACACAAGTGTAATATGGCATTTTAAATATGCTACAATGGCTTATGGCCTTATTATACAATTCATTTACAAAATTTGACATGCCAAACCTCCAAAGTTAGGAAAATTACATTTCACAGGCTAAACTTGAAATTTAAATACATACACTTGAACTTTAAAGTTTGTAGCCCTTGGCCTTATGTCATATATATCAAATACATTGCAAAGAGTGTACTCATGTACACACTACATGTTTAGAATCAAATATACACATTTTGACAAATAAGACTACAAATGGCATTTCAAGCCAACCTTTACAAAAATGGAACCTTCAAGTCCACTAATCACCCAAGCATAATGAGAATCTCAACCTTGATTCCTGTACCTGAAACAATATCCCCAGTAACTTCGGGGTGAGTAACATAAAGCTACTCGTACGAAATGAGCATGCATAGACCTAACGTTTTACAAATTTGCATAGTTTAATCATTGTGGTTCATTCTACCTAACATCTATGTCGAAGGTGAGACTCAGGAATCATCCTAAGCTACCTTAAATCAATTCTAGCATAATCACATCATTCATGCAATTATAAACAATATAAGGGCATGCTATACAAAGCAACAAGATATAGATTCTCAAAGTTATCAACTCGAAATCTAAAATACGAAAACAAATAAAGTGGGTCATGCCACCTAACGTCTATGTTCCAAATGAATCTATAGGATCATTCCTAGGGTACATTTGGACATTACAACATAATGTACTTAACAACATCAAAGTTTACAATGATTCATTAAAAAATTATAAAACATGAATGTACTTAACAACATTAAAAGCATGTTATAATTTATTCAAAATCGTAATGCATAAATGTACTTAACAACATTAAATCGCCAATAACCAAAATCACAAGTCACAATTAAACATTGGTTGTCAACTTGGAATTGAATTCGAAAACAAATAGTGGAAGACTTGGACATCACGTCTCGGAATAAACCAAGATCAAAACGGTTATTCCGAGCATTAACCCGCTGGGATGAACACCCTAGTGCACACTATAAAATGGGGAGAACTCATACCTCCTGCACTAGAGCCACACTTTAGCCATATCTCTGTAACAATATCCCAAGTGACTCCAAAATAAATAAGTTAATAACTTATATACTTATTAAATAATACACGAAACTACCTTTATGCACAAGTAGGTTGAAACCACACAATACATGCTCTAAATCCACAACTACTATAGGATGACAATGTCGAATCTTCAGAGTGCGATTCGTTACATGCTATAACAGTATCACATATCGAATCTTCAATGTACGATTCGTTACACGCTATAACAATATAATTCAATATTGAAAACATAAACTCATGAATCCATTACAAATCCAAAATCATGATTCAAATATACAATCAATGTCAAACACATGATTAAATCATTAACGCAATAGAAACGGAAATTAATTACATAACCTAATTAATTTCTCTAGGTTTCAAATCTCAACCAAATGATCCCTAATTAATACATGTCAAATAACATAGCATGGTCATTACATATATCACATCAAGAACTTAATTAGGCCATTGGAACAATAAAATGGAATTTAATTAAATCATGATAATCAAATCCCTAAATTCTAAAACAACATCAAATGGTCCCAAATTAACATATGTTAGTATACAAATCCTAGTTATCACCAATATCAAGTTAAAAACTTAATTAAGCCAATGGAACCTTTAAATAGATTTTAATTAATCCTTTTAATTAAAATCTCTAGATTTTC